AAAAAAAAAAAAAAAAAAATTCAGAAGCAAAACTTTCTAGACTTATTTCGTTTTTCTTGATTTCTTTGTTCTAAAAGAAGGTTTTGGATCGAATTTCGAGTTTAAGTTTGTGGTTGGGTTCCGAACTTTAGTTATTTTGGATTTTCTGTCCAATTTTTGGTCGATATTTGGATTTGCTCGGTTGGTCTGTGGAGCTGTTGTTTTTGTTGCTGAATCTCTCCTCCCATTTCAGAGCTTTCTTTTGATATTTTTCAGCTATTTTGCCAATAGGTATGTTCTCCTTAAAATACCTTCAGAACTTTTTTTTAGATGTGTAATTCTGGATTTTGTTTTAGCCTATTCACTTGTTATTACTTGAATATGGGATTGTCTTTTAGTTCGTTTTTGTTGTTGCTATCAGAACTTATTAGGTTTGATTTATTTTCAGCATTGAACAGAGTGTTTGTAGCTTGATAAAAATGAGATTTTTGTTGGAAATTAGATCTCTTTGTTTACTGGTGTTTATCTTTTGGTCTTGTTCTAGATAGAGTGAAAATGTTTGATTAGTTTCCCTTACTCTGTTGAATTTGGGTCATACGTGGTAAGTTTCAAACTAAGGTCAACTATTCTATTTTGATTCTTGTTCAAAGCTGGACGACATTTAAAACTTACTAAGAAATATTTATGTAGTTGAAATCATGGTCAAAAAATCAGTCTCTCTTTGTGGATCCACAAATTCAAGCTAATGACCATGGGAGCAGTAAAAGAGTTAATTTGTTGAAAAAGGGTGAATTAATAAGGTTTGGTTAAATGAGTTAAAATTCCATGCTTCGAACGTTACTAGGCTTGATTTTCTTACTTAGCTTTTATTTACCTTTTATTTTACTCTGTTCTTTTTGTTTCTCTTAAAATATTCTTCCTTGTCGTATTCTTGTGTTAAGCTAAGTGTTAAGGACAGAAATAAAAGAATTGGGTTTTAACTTTAAAAGGAAAAAACATTGGACAGGGAATGTTGTTTTCTTATGAATGGATGAGATGTTTGAGGATTACTCTGTTTTCTGGAAGCCATCAAATGGAGTGAATGTAGGCTAATTGAATGGCACTTGCTGAAACTCCAAGTTTGAAATGATAGAATTTATTTGTTTAATTTTACTTTTAAAGTTGGGGTCTATGCAATTCATTATGGTATTCTGAAAGATTTGTACATAATATTATGTTAACATAATTCATGATATTACTGATTAAAAGCCAATTTTATAGATATTTGGTTGAACCTTTACTTGTTTGAATATTGGTCAAGCCATGGACAATAATTTATCTTTTGTCTCTTCTGTATGAATTCATGGACTCTTGCTTTAGGCATTAAAATACAAAGTCAAGAATGTGATTTTGCTTTCCATTCTCCTTGCTGGAAATTCAAAACACCTTTATACTTATGAAAGTGCAATTCGTTAATTTAGAATAAGCTTTACTGCATCATTGGTTCAAGCAAGCTTTATATTAAGCTTAATCTCTGTGCATTTATCCACGGGTCATTTCTATGAATTTCTGAGTTTGTCACATGATCCCAAATTAGCATTAGAATAACAACTCATGAATACTCGTAGTTTGCTTTAGGCTCGATTTAGACTAGTATTGTGATCATGTATACGTTCGCGTAACATAATTGCAAATTTAATTCTTAAAAGACTCGAGGTATGCATTAGCGCAACTTCAACCAAATTTTCTTAATAAATAAATAAAACATTATTAATTGTGGACACGTTCGCGTGATATGGTTTTTGACGCGCCAAAAGAAAAGAGTACACATACGCGTAACTCGATTCTTTAATTACGAATAAATCAAGTTTTTTTAAAAGCGGTAAAAGATAATTGCACATAGGTCTTAAAAATATGTTGTTAAACAATTAAGCCAAATATAAATTGTTAAGCGACCGTGCTAGAACCACGGAATTCGGGAATGCCTAACACCTTCTCCTGGGTTAACATAATTCCTTACCTAGAATTTCTGGTTCGCAAACACTTTAAAAATAAAACTTCCTCGATTTAGGATTTAAAATAAACCGGTGACTTGGGATACCAAATAATTTATTCTAAGTGGCGACTCTGATTAATTAATTAATCCCATTTCGAATAATGTCAGTTAAATTGGAAAAACTCTCTTATATACCCTCGGGGTGTGTAAAAAAAAAGGAGGTGTGACAATGAACACTCGAGAAGTGAAAGTCACAGTGAGAACATCTCAAAATATCAAAAGACCTGCAATTGGAAGATCTCAAGGGCAAGGGGAAGATTCACTATCAGAAGCAAGATTTCAAAAGACCCCGATATCTTGATGAAAACCTACATAGGTCTTTAGAAAAAAAAACTACCTCAAGAAGGACACAAATGAAAAGAAAACATGCGGTGATCTTTAGAAAAAAAGAAAGTCGTGAATTAAGTGTCGAATTAGCGTCGAATTAGCAAAGCAACATCTATTTTTTGTATAATTTGACGCTAAGTTGCGAAAGCACGTAAATATATTCGCACTTCAAAAAATAAAGAAGATGCAAAGTGTACAGCAAAATTTATGAATTTGTATTTACATAGTTATAAAAAAGGGGGAGGGGGTGGGGATGTACAAGAGAACTTTTAAGGAGAACTACGGGGACCTAAACTATGGCCTGGGGATTGGGAAGCGGAAGTAGAAGGGGCGTTTGGGTTAGCATTGGTTTTCGCCGAAGGGGCAGAGGAAGTAGTGTCAACCTTCCCCCTCTTCGGTCTTCATCATCAAGGCCATCATCATTTAATTCCATACTTAGCCCTTGTCTGTCAAGATAAGGAAGACCAAGTAGATGCCCAGGCTAAATTGAAAACTATCATCTTCTGTACGTCCACAAAGGCCTCTTGAGCAGACTTCCGATCTTTGTTATTGGCTAAAACGCTCAACTCAACTGACTCTTATTCAGATCTTATGCCATGAATCTTGGACTATAACTAAGAGAAATCCTCCCTCAGTCGTGCCTCTTTGCTCGTCTTCAAGGCTAGATATCCTTCGAGGGTTAGAATTCTTTTGAAAGCCCTGATCCACTCAGCTCAGAGGGTAGCCTCACTGGCTAAGAATTCTTTCTTCTGATCGGCATTTCACTCTACTACTTTTGTTTGCACTAGGAGGGCCTCCTTCTCAGTTGTGTGCTCCTAGATCACTTTTTGGACCTTCTCATTTTCAATCTTCAACATCTTATCATATCTTACCACCTCCCTTTCCATGGCCATATCGATTCGAACATTTTTCAGGGTCCTCTAGGATAGAGCACTAAGCTGTTTCAGAATACAAAAAGCAAGTAAGATATCTTTAACATGATAAGTACAAAAAGAGGGTCAGTATAGCTAACCTTAGCAGTCTTATGAGATATCTGAGTCACCGACGCCTCAACACTCATAAACTCTATTTTGGCCCATTCCTGCTAGTTCAGCAACTTTGCAAGTTGTGCAGCCACGGGCCTAGGGTTTGTGAAGACCCCCTCCTCCATAGGATAATAAAAACTTAACAACTTTCTGATTTCCAGCTGGTAGGCACGTAGAACCCACGATTAACCGAGCCTCAAAACTGTCCCTCGAATGGAACCTCACATCTGCAGGTGGGTTGGTAGCGATTGATTGATCCTTTGACTTTTAGGTAAGCGTAGTAGTCATCCCTCCTCGGGCCTTAAAACTACATGACGAGAGGCCTCCTTATCAAAATCGACCGTGATGGGATAGGATCAAATCAGCCTATCAGTATCATCCTCCTGAGCAAGTTGAGAACTGCCCTAGGGAACCTCTACTTCAGCCCTAGGGCATACTCTCCTTTGAAAGACTTGCCGCTTTCAGGTGACAACATGAAGGTAGGTTTCGTGGAAGTGTCGGCACCATCCCCCCGAGGTACTTAGGGAAGAAGTTCCCAAATTAACCTTGAGGCAGTGACCACAGAGGGGAGGCTAGCTAGGGCATGTAACTGAAAAAGGGACTCTCTTATGGAGTCTCACCCTTGCTAGGATTTTTTTCACATCAATGGAAAGAAAAGGGGATAAAATAAAGATTCCACAAGGAAAGAATTAAATTCATGATTATTGTGGTACAACACTTTAATACCACCGAGCTTACTAGAAATGGATTTCTAAATCCTCGAGTAGTTGGTTGAAACTTGTAGGATCTCAAATGCATATCCTTTAATGTTGGGCACTCTTTCGAGAGGCACAACGATGGCTGCAAAAACATTGAAAATTTAATAATTCAAGGTATATTACTGAATCATGATGACTTGAATTATGATTAAGATTCCACTTCCTAGGAATTGGTTATTATCGTTTGTGTAAAGAAATTTAGTACGAACTACCAAGTGCCTTTCGAAACACCGGTAGTAATAGTCGTCTCCATAGTCAGATATCAGAGCCTACAAGCCTCGCTGCAACATGTTAATTATGCCTCATCGATAAATCATGTGGGAGTAAAGGTGAAGGAGATGCTAAAAACTGAGGCTAACTCCAGCTTTTTCAGCTAGGTGGCGGAGACATAGAACCTCGGAATGCATCGAACAAATATAGAGTTTGATTTTTTATAAACAAGACATTTTAAAGAAAAGTAAGGAAGATGACAAAAACTCAGAGAAATTAAAACTTGAAAGCTCGAAAGAGATAAGTAGGTATCAATGGGACCTCCTTCCTCTTTTTATATTTGTCCATGCGGTATAAACTTTAGAGCCTCTTGGAACCAAATTTGACGAAAAATTTTATTTTGTCTCTCATACAACTGACACTAATTGTATGAGGTAATTTTTTTGTCTCACAATTTTGTGGACCCAAAAGTATAAGATTGGGGTCCACAAATTTATGAGATAAAAAGGAATCTAGTATAAGTTGTATAAGGCACAAAATAAAATTTCTCAAATTTGACTATGTGTCCAAAACATTAAGTGGTGGCTATGTCAAATGCTAGGTACTTGAAAGGATGCATGACAAGATTGGTGCATCTTTTTACTTCATCTTGCCCGAGAAGTATTGAATGTAATTCAAAAGGAATCTAGTTCGGACACGTGTTGTTCCAGCATGCAGCGGATGTCCCTATGGTCTTAAGGAGTTGACACCATTCGAATATCAACTTTTGCTTCATGGATAAGCTATCTGGGACTGTGATAAGTCCATTCAAGATCCGGAGAGGTATATCTGATACAGTTCAAATTTATAATTTGTTGTAAAAGGAAAAAAAAAGATGGAAGGCAAACTGATTTTAATATACTTAACGAGGTTCATTACAAAATGAGGAATGACCTCGAACAAAACAAACACAAGAGAAGAAAAGAAGAAAACTTGGCTAACAAAGTAGTGAATGTACTTAAACTCCTAGATACCACTATGGAACCCTCAATGGTTCCCACTCACCGACTGCAGATCTGAGATGAAGGCCCGAATGAAGGAGACCAGGAAGTTGATGGACTACTCCAAGTGGTCGAAGGGCTAGGGCGCAAGCTAGGAGGTTCTTCATGGTTGCCTTCCTCCGAGGGGTCGGTGTCGCACCCTTTTTTCTTGTGAAAGCGGGTTTGACATCGTGAAAACTTCTTTTTGAATGGGAGATAGATTATTAAAAGAGAAGAGTCGCCACCTAACAATTTTTAAGGTGCGCTAGGGCACCTATTATGCAGATAACTTTATTTGACTAGTCAACGTCACCAAAGATCGGGTAAGGGCTCAAATTACCTCAAAGAGAAGGTGTTAGACACTCTTCGAGGTCTACGACTGTGGGTCTCGGCCAAACTTAAGATCATGTGGATTATAATTAGGCTAAGTGATCAGATAAACAAAGGGAATATAAAGGTCAAAGAATTTTATTGCAACACGATTGGTACAGACCTTGATATGAATATAGGGATACAACTAGTTAGATCTAATAGCAACATGGGGGGAGGGTCCTATGTTTTTTAGCCTAAAGGATCTCCTCGTGCACATAAATAATACTTCGCAACTCCCTTGAGATAGGGAGTTACTCATATTATTCAGCGGGCACAGACTATCATTCCCTGCTACTCGATTACTATGTTAAAGTTATTTACCTGAAGCGTGCTAATTCAATTCTAAGTTGTACTTTATGTGTGCACTATCCGTCCCATTCCTATGGTCCAGGAGGTATTGGACATCTCCTTGGATAGTTCTTAACATTACTTAGGCTGCTCAGAAATGTCAAAACTAGGCGACATACAAAACACATATTGGACTTCAAATATGGGCAATTAAGGGCTCAAGTTTGCCTCCACACTTAAGCAACAGATGCACGCAAGGCAGGTTTTCATGTTAGTCAATTCAGAGTTTAGAACCTTAAGCTCTGTAGACATGATTTTTATATGACAATGCATTAAAACATACAAGCAGTTTCAGAGGCTAGACGCTGCTCAAAGACATAATTATACACGCTGATTATTGGGATTACAGATTTCCAGTTATTAAACTTGTTGTGTCTAGATGACTTGCGGAACAAGGAGTAATGAAAACTATTGGGAGAAGCCCAGAACTACTTATGCTTGCTACCAGTGGCATAAACAAGCAGTGAACAATGTTTGAGAGGTTCAACATTAATAATTATTAAGGCGAATAGTGATATCCTATAGACAGGATCTCAAACGATTAACATTTGGAACCAATTTTACTGTTATACTTAGCCCTATAGGCATGTTTTCTAGGTGAAGAGTGCAATACATTAGCAAATGAAGTGATCAAAATCCTATAGGCATGATTTCTAATAAATAGTGCGATACAATAGCAAATGAAGTAATCAGAATCCTGTAGGCATGATTTCTAGTGAATATGATGATGCAAATTGAAAGAAAATTCAATGATATTTATTTTCTATGGGCATGTTTTCTAGTAACATATAGCAGTAGGAATAATTGGGACATTTAAATTCATGTTCAGACAAGTAGTGCGAGTGTGTACTTCTCCTAATAAAATGATTTCTACAGTACACATATAGATCGAACGACATATATAGCAAATAAATCATTAAGTCCTATATGCATATTGTCTACCCTTTTTCATGCAAACATTAAGAACCTACCCATTCCCCACTTTTACTAACACCCAATTATTCATTACAAAATTATTACAGAACCAATGATAAAGTAATTACAAATATTATACAAATAATGACAGTAGGCCCACAGTAGCCCAAAAGAAATACCCAGCACTGTTTGGGCCTTCAGCAATTCTCACGTAGCATATCCAGATATCCAACAAGGAGCCATATTCATCAACATAACCCAGAATCCATAGAAGAGCTCAAAAACCAAATCACACAACCATAGATTAACCATATTGCCAAGCGTTGAATCACTTACACCAATCAGCTTACATATTCAGCAGATAAAAGGCAGAAAGGATTGAGTGTTAGGAATAATTCAGGTCTCAGTAGTAGAGGGAGTGACTAAAAGACCCCAAATCCTAGTGTGTCAGAGTTCACAAAGATCTCAAATGGACTCGAGCAGTGCTCACACTAGGTAGGTCAGTAGTAAGAGCCTTGGTGGCCTTGGCTTCAGCCGGTCAAGAATGAGAGGTTCAGTATAGCATAGGTAACAAATGAGAGAGAGAGGACAATGGTTGAGGGACAGAAGTTGAGGGGATACTCGTATAACTTAAAGTAGACATAGCAAGGTTGAGAACACAAAGCAACTAATTAAACATGTCACAAGACTTAAAATTAGGTTCATCAGGGGTTTAGAAGTAGGTTCAACACTTAGTAAAATAACAAATAGACAGCCACATATTGAAAGAGTTAGGGGAGAAAGAAGTTTGCAGGATAGTCAAAGATTATCATGTACAAATGCATAATACACATCGAAACCTAAAAGGTCCAAATTGTGCTAAGAATATATCCCAGTGTCATAAGGCAGACATATTAATTCTCATCAGGAACAAAACAACATTCAGACATGATAGGGGAACACACGTTGTGACCAGTCAAGTAATCACTGAAGGAACAGGGAATCAATTGAGCCAAAGACATGTTAAGGGACATATTAGCAGCAGGCAAGATCATAGATAAATAAATAAAAAGGTTTTAACCCAGATTAGAACACATTACATATGTAAGACAATCATTGTAGAGATTCAGAACAGAGTGGGAAAGTAAACTCATATCAAATTGAAAAGGTAGGCATTCAAACATTGACCAGTAGACTAATTAACTAAGGAAGGTCCAAGTTATGCTAGGGATTCATCATGAAACAGTTCAATCACGGTAGGGGAAACACAAGTTGAGTTATCTGTTCTAAAACCTCAAGTAATCACTAAAGGGGTATGGGATCAAGTGAACATGCTGAGGGACACTATAGCAGAGAAACAATTCGTAGTTAATAGTGAAAGTCTTAACTCAGGTTATTAAAGATGTAGGGCATTCATTATAGAGATTCAGGACAAAGCAGGTAAGAATATTCATGAATATCCAGGCACCAATACATTTAGCTAAATGAGCTTGGGAGGGTTCAGATTATCCCAATTAGCAACATTAGGGGAAATTTAATGCCAAAGAGACTTAAAACGAGTGTGAAGCTAACAAAATTGTGCATAAAAACCAAAAATACATTAAGCCATAGATTTCAGAAGTGAGAACACATGCAAATCAGAAACACATAAAATATGAAATTGCAAAAGGTCAAGCGACATACCAGCTAAACGGACAACAATAAAGAACAAAAGATCCACAAGAACCCAAAACCTCAATGCGTCAAAGTTCCCAAGAGCTTCAAAAGGACCCCGGGCAATGCTCACACCAAGACAAAGTTTGAACAATAGAGTCTTAGTGACCTTGGCTCTCATCCGGCCAAAAACAAAGTACAAAACAAGAGAATGAGGGAATCACAGAACAAAGCTCCAATGTTTAGTGAAAATATAGTTACTAAAGTCTGTCTCAAAGGGGAATGGGTAGGGGTTTAAATAGCAGTAAAATTGGACGAATAAAGAAGGAAACAAAGTAAATCAAACTTAAAATAAGGAAAGAAATCATGCAAAAATTGATATAGAATCAATTTAGGAGAGAAACGGGTAAACCCTAGTTCAAGAGGGAAAACACAAATCGAAAGAGATCTCAATGAAATCGGACTCACATAGCATGGTATTAGGTGTATATAGACGATATGATGCTCAAAATTAAAAGGTTCAAACAACTTTAGTTTGATCTCCGCAGATATCACTTGCCAAACTTAGGCAAGCACCTAAGTAAACCACAAATGGACAACTAGCAGCGAAAGGAGACCAATAAGGTAAGTGAATCAATGATTGATTTCATTTTAGAGCCGGATTTGGAGAGATTGAGAGATATTGCAGCTAGGGTTCGTGAAAGAGAAGAGAGTGGAGAGTGTTTGAGGGCAACTAGTGAAAAGAAATGGGGATTAGGGTTTGGGTGAGGGGATATTAGGAGAGTGGGGGAAATGTTATGAGTCGTTGAGCAATTTTGATCAATGGCTGGGGTTTTTTTGGGACTGGGTTGGGAATTGGGTCATTTGGAGTGTGCTTAGGGGTTATTAGGCTGATTTTGGTCCGAAAATTAGCTCAAAGTTTGGGCCAGCCTTTTAAATACACATAATTTGTCAAAAAATAATTTATAAAAATGATTCGTAAGTAAATAAAAATATTTGTATGCACTAAAACCATTTAAAATAATAATTTAGAATTATAAAAATATAAAATACTATTTTGACATAAATAATATATAAATAAAGACCGTTTGTGTATGAGTATAGGTTATATTTTTGCAAAATTGTGCAAATAGCTTTTAAAAATGCTAATGTAATTATATAAAATGAAGTAAAATATTTGAAACATATTACAGGTGCAACTAATAATTTTAGGTAACTAAGTTATCACAAAAATAATTTAAAGGAGTAATTAATAATTATTCAAGTAATTTAAATGCAGAAAAATCAATTTAAAAGCTCTAAACATT